AAGTCGGACACTTAACCGACTGAGCCACCCAGGCGCCCCTACCAATTATTTGACTAATAGAAAATAAACATGACAAAAACCAAGCATAGTCAGTCATGTTTAGTTCAGTCATTTGTTTTTCATTGTCACATGCTTGTGATATTTGTATTACCTATCTTTAATATAGCTATGCTTTATACTAATCTAGATTTTCTACTGGAATTAAATTAAGACTTTTCATAGTGTTTCACAAAGAACACCATGACTTCCAAAAGCTCTGCCATCTGAAATGGTTTGAGAACCAATGGACTTAACCATCTTGTAAGATACTAGAGGGAAAGAACTTCTGTCTTCATCATCATGTCACATATGATCAGAACCGTTGCAGAGTTTTGAGTAGAAAGTAACATGAGGAAAAATTGGATTATAATATTTTTGTGTTTGGGAAGTTTTCTGGAAGGAGTGTGGGTTGGGAGTAGGAGTAGACGTAGAGTGAATGTAGCATATAACCACTGTAAACAATATTGTCAGTTGTGTTTATATTAGGCGTTGATTAAAACTCTAGCATTATCATCCAGATGAAAATATTACGGTGAATTTCTCCTATTAGTTTAACAAGTTAATTTTGAATTGAAATTTGTACAAACTAAAATAACAAAAATTAGATTGATTCAAACAGCATTCCTCATAACAAACACAAAAGAAAGTTACCTTAAAAGTACTTTGAGTTTCATATCACTTTTCTAGGTAGGATCGGGTAGTTATGGAGTAAATGTTCAGAAAACACATCATTGCAGTAATTGTGCATTCATTCATTCCTAGGAGGTCCGCGTTACCATGTCCATTTTGTAGATTCAGAAATTCAGAGTGGAGAAGTGGCTTGAAAGGCAACGTAGGCCTTAAGTGTTAAAAGTAAACTTTGAATCCAAAGCAGTTAATTCTAAATCCCATGCTCTTTGAACCACACCACACCGAGCCCTCATTTTTAAATTATTTAATTTTTTAAATTACAAAAGTAATGTGTGCCTAAAACAAACAATACTTACACGCATGCATGTGAGGCTTACACATATATG